ACCCATACCTGCGTGGTGCTCGATCAGGATGCCCATGAAGCGCTCCAGGCTGCCGAGCAGCGCGCGGTGGATCATGATGGGCCGCTCCTTCTCGTTCCCTGCGGTGGTGTAGGCCAGCCCGAACCGCTCCGGCAGGTTGAAGTCCAGCTGCACCGTGGAGCACTGCCAGCGCCGGCCGATGGCGTCCTGGATCTTGATGTCGATCTTGGGGCCATAGAAGGCGCCGCCCCCCTCGTCCACACTGAACGGCCAGCCCTGCGCGTGGAGGGGGAGGGAGCGCGTTACGCATGTGTATTTGGTGTGTCACAAGAAGGGTAGAAAGGGATGTGCACCATGCAATGGTAGGAGTAGGGACGGGCCAGGCAGGCCACACAGGGCAGAGCCACATCCGCAGCAGTTGGTTCGCGCCCTGCGCCAGTCAGAGGTGACCGACTGCGCCACTCCAAGGGCCCAAGCCAGGCCCTCGAGACTCCCTTGCCTGCCCGCCCACACTCAATGCTCGAACCCGTCATCCCCTCCCGCGCCCCCCCTTCCTCCCTCCCCCCCCCTTCCCCCCACTCCAAAAACTACAGCTCGCCTTGTCCTCCAGGGCCGATACCAGGGCGGCCTCGGCCTGGGCCCAGTCGGCGTCCGACCCCACCGACTCCGCGGGGCGGGTGGACAGGTTGACCTCGTAGCGGTCAAAGCCAAAGGCGGTGAACACCGACTGGACCAGGTCCAGCACCCCCCTGATCTCGCCCGCAATCTGGTCGGGCAGGCAGAAGATGTGGGCGTCGTCCTGGGTGAAACCGCGCACACGGAAGAGGCCGTGCATGGTGCCGGAGCGCTCGTAGCGGTACACCGTGCCAAGCTCCGCCCAGCGCAGGGGCAGGTCGCGGTAGCTGGTCTGCCGCGCCTTGAAGATGGCCACGTGGCAGGGGCAGTTCATGGGCTTGAGCTGGTACGACTCGTCCTCCACCTTGACCTGGCCATACATGGAGTCGCGGTAGAAGTCCAGGTGCCCGCTTGTCTGCCACAGCTCACCCTGTGCAGCGTAAAGGGGGTGGGGAGAGAGAGTTGCAGGAGATCTTGAGGCTATCAGGGAAGGAAATCGTGCCCCCAGGCGCCCTCCAAGCGTCACTCCTCTCCAAAGCCCACCCCACCCCACAATCAGCGTGCCTTGGCGATGTGAGGCGTGTACAAGAGCTTATACCCCGCCGCCAGGTGCATGTCCTTCCAGAACGTTTCCAGCTGGTGCCGCACCTGGTGGTAAATCGGTGGGGACGGTGTGAGAAGGTGCTCTCTCAAGGTATAAGGAGCAAAACAAAGAGTGTGTGGGAGTTGGTGAGGATGTCCCCCCGGCCGCCCGCAATCACAGGGCAGCAAGGCAGCCACGCAGCTCACTCGTCGAGTTATGAGACATTGCAACAGCAGACTCCACGATGTACAAGCATCACCTCCTCTCCCCTCTCACCATCGCGCCGTTGGGGTGCCAGAGCACGAGGCCGCCGCCCACAGAGTCTTGAATGGAGAAGAGATCCAGCTCAGCGCCCAGCCTCCGATGGTCCCTGGCAGACAGTGGTACAGGAGAGGTGAGATATATTCGGTCTTGAGGATGGTGTTGATGAAGGCTGTGGCACGATGATTTGGCAGCTGCTTGCCAGGTCTACCAGGATCCCCACAGGTGGTAAAACCAAGACACGCGCACGCTTTGAGACACTACCATGTGTGTGCTACACCACGTTTTGCACCCAGCGACGCCACGAGCGCTCTGCTCATTATTGAGCAAAACTGCCTAGGCTACTTCGTGATCATGATTTCCGACCCAACCAACCAATCCACGCTACCCCAATAAATCCCTGCTAACCCCCGCTCCACCTGCGGGTGGCCTCCGCCTTGAGGTGCTTGTACGCATCCAGCTGCTGCCGGCTCTCCCAGGCGGTGCCGTAGATGCGCTGCAGCTGCGCGGCCTGCTCGTCGCCGCGCCAGTATGCCCCCGCCACGCTTTCCAGCTCGATCGCCTCGGCGTTGATGGCGCCGGTGCTGGCCACGTGGGGCCCGGCGCACAGATCCCACCAGTGATCCTTCTCGCCCTCCTCACCGATGTGGTAGATGGTGATGGGCGCGTCGGGGGTGTTTTTGAGGATGGAGTCCAGGATCTCCAGCTTGTAGGGCTCGCCGATGGACTCGATTCGCCGGCGCGCCACCTCAGCGGGAACCTGGATTCATGTGTTTTGGGTAGATGCTGTTGCATGCAGTCCCCGAGCGTAGGAAGCTGGCTCACACTATGTCTGCTGGTGGTCCAGGCACACATCCTGGGCATGGGGCATGGCAAACGTCACGTGATCCCTCCACTCCTAGAACCCTGTCCCCAAGGGACAACCACGCCCCATACCCCTGGCCTACCTCCTCGCGGCGGATGGCCAGGTTGCGCTTGATCAGCCTCTTCATCTCCTTCTGGATCTTTGGGAGATCCTTCTCTGTGATGGGCTGTTGTGCGTGGAGGAGAAGGGGGAATGTCACCAGGCATGCCAGCGACATGGGTCCTTGCAATGGAGGGCAAGCCGAGCAGTCCCTCAGCTACAAAGTGACAACATAAACATCAGGAACATGCGCTCTTCTCATTCACCCCCTCCCAATCACCTGGGGCATGTCAAAATCGTAGTAAAATCCGCGGTCGATCCAGGGTCCTATGGTGCACCTGGCCCCCTTGTGGACTCGCTGCACTGCCATGGCCATCACGTGGGCAGCGCTGTGGCGCACTGCCAGCAGGCCGGGGGACTCGGAGCTGGTGGGGAGGTCGTCCAGGGTCAGGCTGGCCTCTGGAGCTGGAGTGGTCTCAGAGGGGGCCACCTCCATGGCTGCAGCGGGGGCTGCTGCGCAGGTACGCATCTGGTCGGAGTGCAGGCCGCGCTTGCTGGAGCCGCATACCACCCTGGGCGGGAGGCTGGGGGGGGAGGAGCTCAGCCCTCGCACCGGACCATGGGATGGCGCTCGGGCACGTGGTCTGCTGGCCCCGACACTGAACGGCCTTGGGCACACCGCGGTCGGCACGACGTCCAGGGCGCTCATCGCACGTGCAAACATGAGCATGCCGCTCTGCCTGAAGCATGCACTGCGCAGGATGGGGGCACTCATGCCTCCTCTCTGGGTCGGGTGACGAGATGCACAGGAGCTGGGTTTCAGGCGGTGTGGCTCTCCTCTACTGTGCCATGCATGGCCCCTGCATCTTGAATCGATTTTTACGGTGGAGTTTCTTCAAATTCCAGCCTCCTGCGCGCCCAGCTCGACTGTCATTGTGCGCCATGCTGCCTCCCGAGTGATCTCGCTCGTGATTTGCATGTCGAGCCGATGGGGCCACCCGTTTTGTCGTCATCAGATGAAGGCAATGCAACCTCGTCACATCCATGACCGACTTACCTTCATCAATGTGAAAATCCACCCTCGCAAGCAGCACAGGTAATTGTCGAAAGTCTGTATTTTGCAGGGCACCCACATCCAGGCGCGGCGTGATGGAAGAGCACATGCATGTGAGATGCGCGGGTCCAGGAGTGAAAAGGTACAGAGGGAGAGTGGAAGGGAATGGAGAATACAGAAAAGGTCTCACTCGGACTCCTCCTTTGCCTTCTTCTTCTTCTTCTTCTCCTTCTGCAAGATGGATTGTGGACGGTGTGCCGTGGGTGAAGTCCTGTCGAGACGAGGGGGATGGGTCTGGTCGCTGATGCACGCACACAGCCCGGCATGCCCATGCAGGCTCGGTCGTGGCCTGGTTCTCCAAGCCTGCCCCCTCCTAGGACATGACATCCACGCAGGTCCTCCCCCCCGCCACACACCTTGTCTGGACTGCTCTCTGTGGACGCCGCCCCCGGCGACAGCTCCCTCTTCTTCTCCTTCTTCTCCTTCTTCTCCTTCTTGGCCTTCTTCTCCTTCTTGGCCTCGCCATCGGCCGCCGGCGTCGCCGCCTCGGCCGCCGCCTCGGGCGCCGGCGCGGGCGTGGCGGGCGTGGTCGCGGCGGGCGCCGCCGCGGCGGGGTCGGCCGGCAGCGCGCGTAGGTACTCGGCGGGCGTGGCCTCGTTTGGCCGGCCGTGCTTGTCCAGCTTTCCCTCCGCGATCAGCGCCTTCTTTTTCTGCGCCATGGGCCCCAGCCCCCAGCGGCGCGGGTAGGTGTCACGCTCCATGATCACGCGCTTGATCTTGGCCACCACGCCGTGGTCGCAGGTGGCCATGACCGAGGTGCTCATCTGGGCGATGCCCACGGCGATGGCCTCGCCCTTGGTGGTCATCAGCACCACCTCGTCGTCCACCTCGATCCCGGACTCGTAGCGCAGCAGGCCCGGGATCATGAATTTGGCGCCGTAGCAGACGGCGTTGATGGCGGAGTCCTTGACCACCAGGCGCTTGTAGTTGGTCAGCAGCACCTCCAGCGGCATGACCACGCGGCGCAGGTAGGCCTCGTCCTTGTGGTTGTCGTACAGCCACTGCGCGTCCAGCACGTCGTGCATGGTCACCATGTTGTCGCGCTCGCCCATGATGCCGGAGCGCACGCGGCGCAGCTCCTGCATGTGGCCGCCCACGCCCAGCAGCAGGCCCAGGTGCACGCAGAGGGTGCGCATGTAGGTCCCTGCCTCGCAGGACGCCCAGAACACCGCCAGGTGACGCTCCTCGTCGTACTCGATCAGGCGCGAGGCGTAGATGGTGCGGATGCGCAGCTGGCGCTTGACCGCGGAGATGAGGGGCGGGCGCTGGTACAGCGCGCCCGTCAGCGTCTCGATGGCGCGCGCCACGCGCGCGGTGCCGCCCTCCACCGCCGAGTGGAAGCGCGCGATGCACACGTACTCCTTTCCCGCGCCCTGCTGCGACTTGACCAGCCGCGTGGCGCGATCCACACACACGATCAGCCCGCCCGTGACCTTTGGGTCCAGCGTGCCACTGTGCCCCGTCTTCTCCACGCGAAGGATGCGCCGGATCCAGGCCACCACCTCGTGGGAGGAGGGGTTGCTGGGCTTGTCCAGGTTGATCACCCCGTACCGCACGTACTCCTGAGGAAGCGGAGTTGGGGTGGGGAGGAGAGAGTGAACCGGGATAGAAATTGGAGTGGAATGGCGGCGGGGTGTCACGGGGATGGAGATGGGGTGGGATGTGCGAGGGAGGGCTGGAGGGAGGGATGAACATGCCGCTCCTTCATTCTGACATGTCCAGGCACAGAAGCGATATCGACCACGCCATCTCTGACTGCAGTGCGGGCACTCGCTGAAAATGCATCCCAGACATACCTGGAGGGGCCGCTTCAGGGGGGGTGTGGCCGGAGGGGATGGGGGTGTAGTGGCCCGTGCGGACGTTCAGCTTGTCATAGTTCTTCAGCAGCAGGGGCCACTTGCTGGTGTCCAGGGCGGGGGTGGTTTTCTGGGGCAGGATGAGGTCTGCGAAGGATGGATGAGGGGGCGGAAGGTGGACGACTGTCCCACCACCGGGGCAGTACTGACGGGCATGCGCTGCGGGGTGGACGTACCAAGCCCCCCCCGCGCACCCCTGCTGGTGTCCTCCTTGGACGCATCCGACTTCCCCATGGCAGCAGCGGGTTGTTGAGAGGGAATGGAGGGGAGGGATGTGACCGTGCGCCCTGGACCCGACAGTCAGCCCCGGTCCTCCTGCAGCAAGGTGGGCGTCGTCCTGTGTCGAGTGAAAACTGTTCCCGACACTAAATGTGCATTGTTATAGGGTGAGTGGGTCGCGAGTGCCTTGTTGCCCCGGCCATGCATGGCCGACGTCCGCCGCGCCGGGATCTGCCTGGCACGCCCAGCACGGACCCTCTAGCGGGTGTCGCCATTTTCAGGCAGCGCTGCGGCTGGACGTAGTATGGAGCGCCCCCCCCCATACATCGAAAGGGGTGGTACAGGTTTCCAACAACGATGTTCAGAATTTCTGCTTGATTTCAAGAGAGACCCTGATGCTGTGACATAGCATCGCAGAAATATATGCTCCGCTGTGTTCTGCATTGGACTTCATCCTTCTGCCCAAGAGCATCCAGTGCAGGTGAACGAGCATCCCATCCGCTGTCACCTTCCGTGCATATCTGGACTGCACCATAGAGAGGATTACACCGCAGAGCTTACAGAAAGCGCAAGCGTGCAGCCTTTATGCACCATACCGCAGGATGCATTGTGGGTCCCACCCCTATTTAGACTCCTGAGTGGATTCAAGAGGACTCGGCGACAACGTTGTGCTTCTTGGCAAAGCGCTGCATGGGGAATGAAAGGGCGTTAGAGTGAGAAGGATGTGCAGGGGGCAGCAGATTTCCTGACGGCCATGCTGTGCCAAACCCATGCCACATCCCCCCCAAAACTAAAGCCAGCTGATATATCTCACCAGGTTGCGCAGGAACTTAGGGTCCATCCTGCATGGAAGCAAAGGGATCGACGGAATGAGGGATGCTGCATGCCAGGGGCTGCCGAACTCATCTCACCACAGCACAGGCGCTAGGGGTGCGCATCGCCCAACTAGACGCCTCGCATCGCCCGCCTCTCCCCATTTCCGAGCTGGATACAACCATCTCCGACCATTTTCTCCCCTCTCCCCGGCAACTTACCCCTTCTGGGAGGAGTACCTTTGCCTCTTGGGCTTCTTGATCCCGTTCTTGTGCGCCTTGGCGCTCTGGTTGTGCGCGGTATGGTTCTTGGACTTGGCCATTCTACGAAGTGGAGGGAGGGAATGTGCCAGTGACCCTCCGGGGTGAGAGCGGACCAAGGCCAGTCTCGCTCAGCAGCTCCCAGGCCTGGTACCCGGGAGGGGTCGTCGGGGACCCCCTCTACGCACACACTCGCACTTCAACAGCTGCGCATCCTCACCTGCCGACCCCTGTGTGCTACTCGTGATGGAGAGGGAGTGTTCCGAGGCCCGCACACCTCTTATGGGCAGGCCTTACCGAGTCAGGCGGCCTCCCGGGAAAGCAAGAAAACGGGAGTGTTTGTTCTGGCACCCTTCTCGCCAAGCAGTTGTTGCTCATGCAGAGAGACCTTTGCATTCGGGCTTCCCTCAGGCTGCCCATGCAATAAAGAATTTGACATACAAACCTTACTTTTCGAGGATACATCCTTTTTCGACCCGCTCTTCAAAGCTCGTCTTGTGCATCCGGAGCACCAGCTACTTCAGTGCACCTGGTCCGCGCTCTGTCCCTCACTACTTTACATCCCATGGACGTTAAAATGCAGGTAAATCGTGTTGATGCATCGAAGGTGGGTATTCCGCATGTCATCAGCCCTCTCTCTGCGCCGCCCTGAGCCGCACCTCGCCTGGCCCACATCAGGAGGAGCTGACGGCCGCTGACTACTATGCGGACAGCTACGGGCACTTTGGAATCCATGAGGAGATGCTCAAGGATGAGGTGGGATCCCTGGAGCGGTTGAATATGTGATCATGCGGTTGCTGCCCGCCGTCAGGCACTCAGCACCATGCGCTGCAGCGGGACCTCCCATGCAACATGCACGGCGTTTCACAGGTTCCTGCTCTCCCCCACGATGCACACAGGTGCGCACGAAGACATACATGAACTCCATCCTGCGCAATGGGCACCTATTCAAGGACAAGGTGGTGCTGGATGTGGGGTGCGGCACCGGAATCCTGAGCCTCTTCGCCGCCAAGGCCGGCGCCAAGCATGTCTACGGCATCGACATGTCGGCCATCGCCGAACAGGCCAAGATCATTGTGCGCGACAACGGCCATGCGGTGAGGAGCGCCGGGGATGGTCGTGGCGGGGTGCAGTGAGGGAGTCGAGACGGTACTTTGGTGCAGTGGCAGGAGCGGAGTGGTATGTGACACAGGCTGGGTTCAGGAGCAGTGAGCAGTTCCCAGCGCACACGTCCAGCCCTCATTCCTTACCTTGCTCGTACTGCGATTGATGCGAGACCATTTATATTGCGCGAAGGACCGCATCACCATCCTCCGGGGCAAGGTGGAGGAGGTCGAGCTGCCAGTGGACACGGTTGACATCATCATCTCAGAGTGGATGGTGAGGCGGGGTGGCAAACACATTCAGGACCGTGCGGCAGGTGCAGGAAGGCTGTTGTGTGTTTTCCCAGGACTGTGAGAGTGGCACTCTGCTGTGCTGTCCCTTCGTCCACCCAGCACATCACTGTGTAGCCCCTTCATTACCACCTTCCCCTCTCGTCCCTCGCAGGGCTACTTCCTTGTGTATGAGTCCATGCTGGACACCGTGTTGTGGGCCAGGGACAAGTGGCTGGCGCCCCATGGCCTCATATTCCCCGACAAGGCCAGCCTCCACCTGGTGGCCATCGAGGATGCTGAGTACAAGTGCGCATGCATGCAACTCCTGCTTGGGCCAGAGGGAAGGATGGGGTCCCTCAGGACTGACATTCCTGGGAGTACCTTTGCAGGGGATAGTTGTGAACTCCAGCTGAACAGCAGCGCGGCCTGCCCTCATGTCACACCGCATTGCCATCGTGCTTCGACAAAGTTGGCATCCTGAGTTCCACCCTTTTCTCCCTCCTCCAGAACGGAAAAAATCGACTGGTGGCAGAACGTGTACGGATTCGACATGAGTTGCATTGGCAAGACCGCGCTGTCAGAGCCCCTCGTGGACTGTGGTGAGCCGGTGGGATTTGCCTGCTGTGTGTGCATTCTGACATCCGGCTTGATGGGGGGACACAACCCTCATGGCCTCTCTCATCTCCCCGCCTCCTTCTCACCACAGTCGACGCCAACCAGATCTGCACCCATGCCTGCCTGCTGAAGACCTTTGACATCAAGACCATGACCAAGGAGGATGCATCGTTCACGGTCAGTTGGGAATGGGCCATGCCCAGTCCTGTTTGCAAACTTAAGAGGCATGAGTCTTGTCAGTGCAGAATCCGTGCGTGGTTGCCAGCGTGCTATGAGGTATCATCCCCGCATACTCCTGACTCTTACTCACACAACAGTCCAGGGACCACTCGTGTGAAATCCAACTCCGTCCTCGACACTTCCCCCCTCCTCCTCACCCGCAGGCAAACTTTGCGCTCACCACCACCCGCAAGGACTATGTGCACGCGCTAGTGGCCTACTTTGACATCGTTTTTGCCGACTGCCACAAGCCCATCGCCTTCAGCACCGGGCCGCGCAGTCGGTCCACCCACTGGAAGCAGACGGTGTTTTATCTGGAGGACACGCTCAGGGTGCACCCCAAGGAGGAGATCACAGGTGGGGAAGGGGACCCTGGGCAGAGCAGACTGGTGCATCCTCACGATGCCCACAGTCTTTCCCAGGCGCCGCACATGCGTTGCAAAGAGGAGTGTCGGCAGGAGGGGGGATCACGCGACCCAACTCGGCTGCCAGACCATCCTCCAGCACCCAAACCTGCCCTGTACATGTATGTGCAGCATCCCCTTTACCCGATCCCTCACCTCTTCCACCCCCATCAGGAACCGTGACGTGCTTTCCAAATGCCAAGAATCCGAGGGACCTGGAGATCGGCATTACCTACGCCTTTGAGGGGTCCGAGGGATCTTGGTCTGGCGACCAGAAGTACAAGATGCGGTGAGGCCAAGGAGTGGCGCAAGGCCCTGCACCTGCCGTCCTGCGGATGAGCCTGATACCCATTCTCGAGACCTGCGAACCTTTCTAAGAATCCGGCACTGTAATAAATGATGAGAGACATTGAGTCAATGCGGGTCATCAGGCAGACTGGTCCTTGGGCAGAAATGTGGACCGGTGCGCTGGCGATGCTTGGGAGGGTCCCCAACCCCTTTGGATGATGCAGCATAGGAGTGTCCTCTTAGGCAAGATTAGGTTTATCTGTTGGCACCAGAATATGAACACCGGATGCAGGTTTGGTGTGCACAGCGGCCCCACGTGGCCCCGCGCGGTCCCCGGGTCGACGCAGCAATGATCCTGTGGATGTGGAGGAGTGGGAGGGCCTCCGCGGGGCAGCCCCTCCAGACATGGTCCCTAATCTGACATCCTCTGCCCTGTATCATGAACTTTTGAGGACCCCGATCTGCGTCGCGAGGAAAAAGGTGCATCCCTGGAGCTGTTCACCGCGTGACCAGCCCAGTCCGCGAGTTCCGTGCAAGCACTTCGAGGCCCATGCGCCCATGGACTGGAGTCAGAGCAGGAACTGACTGAACCATTTGAATTTTGGAGAGTTAGTCCTGCGAACCACGCACAGGCGTCAGAGGAGTACTGCCTGGATCGTCAGCAACAGCTTGCAGACTCCCACCCGAACATGCACGGCCTTCACACCGCGGCGCCGACCAGCATGCTGGCGGGCTCTCCGCTAGCGTCCACCACCCCACAGCATTGGGTGTGTGGTGGGCACCCATGGCGCCCCACGGTCTCCAAGCGGCCCCCCAAGGCACGCCGAGCTGGGTGGCACCCGGATTCGGGGTGGATTCACCGAGGAAAATGTGCCATGCCAACCCACCGTGCATCCCCCTGCTCACCCTCCTCGCTCACCCTCCACCCGACCTCCATCCCACCGACCTGCAGAAGTGCTTGGCGCGCGCCTCCGCCACACTGCACAAGCCGGCGGGATCCGGGCAGTACGCAGGGGCTGTGTGGCCGGGCCCGAGCAGCGGCGACCCCACCACCCCCACCCCCCTGCACGGCTCGTGCACGGGTGGCGCGGAGGCTGAGGAGCACGCTCTGCGCCTGCAGCTCGAGCTGCACGACCACTTCATGAACGAGCAGGCGGGGTCGCCCCAGACACGCAGCGGCCGCGCGCGGCGGGTCATGGAGGGCGCGGCGGCAGACTCGGGGCGGGGCGGCTTCCCCTGGTCCGCCGAGGGGCTGCTGGAGGCCTACCGTCGCTGCGGGGTGGTCACCGCGGAGCACGCCAAGACCTTCTACCTGGGCACCCAGCTAATGACCCCAGAGAAGGCGCGCGCCATCTGGGCCATCTACGTCTGGTGCCGGCGCACCGACGAGCTGGTGGACGGCCCCAACGCCTCGCGCATCAACCCTGCCGTGAGTGTCGTACTTCTTTTGTTGAGATGGGGGATCCCAATGGTGACATGGAGTGGGGGAGAGGATTCCTGACTTGCGATGCCGGGTTTCATCGCCTGCCTCCTTTCAAATCCGTGGAGGGAGGCACTCACGGCTGTCCATCCTACCATATACTCCTAGGCGCTGGACCGGTGGGAGGAGCGGCTGGAGGCCATTTTTGAGAACAAGCCGTACGACGCCTTTGATGCCGCCCTGGCCGACACCGTGCAGCGCTTTCCTCTGCACATCCAGCCCTTCAGGTGGGGGAGCGGGCTGGCGGCGGTTGGAGTGGAGGGTCGGGGGGG